AAACCTTTCTGTTTTATACCACAAACACTTAGAATGCGCCCATAAAAGTCACGACCTCTGGCACCAAAACAAAACTTATCATTCAAAAACAACGGGAGTGCAGCAATCACGCATGACTCTACCCGCGCAGATGGCTCGCAATCACCTTGATATGCAAAATCGTTACGGATCTAGCTCTGAAATTAACAGTGGCTACGCAATCCCTGAATCTGAACTAATTATTTTAACGATTAAAAGGAAAAATCTATTCAGATAAATTAATATTTGTAGGCTTTAATCGAAAACCGGTGCCTAAATTCCTTTGAAAACTTCTTTGAAAGAACACCTAGTACCTTGAAATGACGGACACCTAACAAAATAATTTTATTTCCACCTCAAATATATGAATAAACTTCACTTACTCGTTCGCTACGTTGTTCAAACGATGATTTGACGGTTTCGTCCTGTTCATTTACTTCTTCAGGTGTATTCTCGGTGAACTCTTCACGACTAAATAAAACAGGTTAAAATTTGGGAATGCGGGTCAAATGCAAATTCTTTGCTTATTGTCGACGGCAAAATGAACTCGTTTTCTTTTGTTAGAATTATATGAGTCCGGCTTTGGTGGATCGAAAAATTCCGAGTACTTGTAATCTCTTCCGTCGTCCTGAAACGTAATTTTGCAACAGAAGTCATCTACAGATTACACAACTGTTCACTCAATATATTATTGTCGAAGCCCAACATGCAACTATTCAATGATTCAACAGGTTAATTTTAGAATAAGAAATTAATTCGGTGATCCTTCGGACTTTTCTATTTTGATGACTTAGTGTTCGCTTGGTCAGCTCACTGTCGCATTCGACGCCGGAATAAAGGTCATCCTGACCAAATCAGAGGCTGTTGTATTCCTGAAAAACGCCACCGAGTCCGTCCACAGTGGAAAAACTGAGAATGGTGAAGAAGTTCATGTCAGGGTAGCATTCACAGATGATAGTCAGCAAGACATGCCAATAAACGGTCAAGCAAGTGCAGCAATGTAGCAGCTAAACTGATGTGCACTGCATGGTAGTGCAAAGTTATCTTCAAATTTGTTTATGCATCTACCCTCACCTATGTTGGGTATTAATCAAAAGGGTGCGAAATCGGTAAACCGGCAAAAACGGGGTTTCACTGAAAGAATGCCAGAGTGAAGACACTCGATAAGATTCAGAACATGACAGTCAGAAATACCCCTGGAGATACTGTAAACTCGCCATTACTCGATCGAGAAGTCACATTTGCCTGATCTGGATAATGTTTTGAGTGCTAGAGAGACTCAGAAGATATACTGCCCATCTATGTCAATTAGATAACATATGTCAATAAATATTAGGTTGTCTTACCATCTAGCACCGCATGTGCTCAAATACCATGGAGTCGTGGAATACCTAAATAGCCCTTGTAGGCTATAGGATCATGATGAGGTGAATGCGCCATGAAATATGGTCTTGAAAAAGTTACGCATGTATGAATATACTCCGGCATAGGACTATACATGACTCACAATAAACCGCATTATTTTACTATATGCCAACTACACGTGCTAATAATTTTTAGTTATCAATACAGCTCATTTCTGATATGAGCAAAATGTCAGAAATTGAGACAGCATAATCAAAATTTATTTTTTACTTTTTAAATCATTCACTGATTTCAATTAGCCTTAGCCTGCAACCTTTCCTAGAGATCGTTTAGCATATACCCTGCTATCGCGTAGTTTTAATGCAATTCAACTGGATGCGAGTTGCATGTTTGTCGACACTGTCTTTCCTTCGCAGTATTATGAGAGATCCTGCACAACAATCAAAAATGATCGGTAACAATTTATGAATGACATGCTTACGTAATTCAATATCAATCTGGCATGTTTGTATTTTTACGTTATATCTAACAAGATGCTAAATTTTCTAAATTTTTTCTTTTGCCGATAGCTGCAATGAAGATTAATACAAAAACTGCACTGTAGATTAACGCAAATTTGTACATGACAGGAAAAGACAAAGTCACACTTACGGATTTGTCAGTATCACAGAAATAATCGTAATTTTCGTCAGCAGCCAAAAAGTCAGATCCTGTTTCGAAAAGTTTGTCTTGTTCCTCAAGGAATGATTCCATGTCAGTCAGACTGAAAAATCTGTCTTCAACAGCTGATGTCCGTGACAGCTCCTCTTCATGTGATTTCCTCTCATGTGCATATTCTTCACCTTCGTCGCCTTCTTTGTCTTTCGCATTGTCGTACTGGTTTTCTTCGTCCGTATCAAAGTCTTCGCCGTTGAACAACTCACTGTCATCCGTTTCATCATCCGCCGTAGCCGTGGACGCTTTCAGCAATCCTTTGATCCTTCCAACCTCGACCATTTCATCATCGTCAGAGTTTTCGCTTTCTTCTTTCGCGTCTTCTACAAGATCTTCATCACTTCTGACCGGGACCTCGCAAGATATCAAACTGGACGACGACACCACTTTACTTAACTGTTCGTATGCCTTTCGATTTTGTAGCTCTATTTGCTGCCATATCTGTTCCATGTCAAACCCGCTGACAAACAGTTCAGGAACAGTGTCACGACGGTCGCCATCGCCGTCCAGTTCATAACTTTTGATCTCGCCATACATTTTCTTCAGTGAATTTTTCATTCCGTCTAACTCGCTGGCAGAAAACCTGAATAAAATAAAATTACCATTATAAAAACGTTAATATGGATTTTTAGTATTCAATTTTGAATTCGATTCTTGGAAGTAGGAACTGTAGAAAATCTGCTGATTCATAGTTGAGGGCACTAATTAAAGCCGATGGTAGAGCTCCATTTCCAACGCTTGTCGCTAACATAACAATAAGATGATGAGTTATATATCGACGATACTACTGGTGAAGTAAAAAATGCACTTAAAACTTCCGACCATCGACTTTGTTACCCACTACAAATGGATAAATAAATTATCTA